TATTCCGAATTTCTCCGAAGACAAACAACTCAGAATTAATCACCTTAATTCGTTTCAGTTTCGTTTAAGAAACATACTACCATTTGCTACGAATTACAGTGTAAATGGCTTAGGAGACGACGAAATTACCGATAATAGTTATAGGCGATATCAAATAAAGGGCAGAACTTTTTTGAGTACTGTCGTTATAATCGAAACGACGACTAATCGTACGTCAACCCGATCCAATGGAAACAACTCTTATGAATATTCTCTTATTGAAGTTCAGGGAGTGGCTAATAGCAATGGAGTAGTCTACCAATTTTTAAAAATGTAGACCAATTCTGAGGAAGCTATAATTTAGTTCATCTTTAAATTGTATCAATATTTAGTAGGCAATTGGAACGTACCAGAAACAGTATACCATCTTCGCCCACCTTCGAACTTGATCTTGACATGATTGTTAACTCGCTCCACTCACTTCATATGGCATTTACGATACTAAAAATAAATAAGAGTGGCAATATATCCATAATTTATATAGGTTTGGATCGAATCGGATAAAAAGAAGTCATCGCTTTTTTCAATATGTTGAACATGGTGAGAGTAGAAGGAGTGACTTATATGAATGTCCTCAAATTTGTCATATATGTGTGTGGTCGAAGTTCCGAGAGCTCTAAAACACGTAAAAAAGTGTCTGTCGATGTTGCCAACAGATATATACCCTCGGCCTATGGTTTGCGAAGCTCTCTGAATTACTCACAGGTTTTATTATTCGCTTTATATAAGGTATGTTTTTATATAGGAGGTTTTGAATTTAATGTTAATCAAATCGGTTACTCAATTCGTTTCACATTTAATTAACAAGTTTATAAAATGTTGTAGAGGAGGTACCAGAAGGAGAGGACAAATGGATCCCATCTTCGGACTTGATGTAGGCTTGGTAAAGATAAGTTTGTTGGTTCAAATCGACATTCCACTCGCCTGGTATTCGATTTATGTATACCTTCAGACTTCATCTAGGATTAGTTAAGATAATAGGTTCTGCAAGATTTGGTTCAAATCGGGCATATATTTTGCCTAATATTAAAAATTATAACCATTTGTGGGGGATATACAAGAAGGAATGGATCAATAGGTCCCATCTTCGGACCTATCTTGGCTATTATAAAATTAATTTTAAGCACAATTTTGTGGGGGAGGTACAATTCAAAGCAGATCTGGGTCGCCCAGGTTTAAGATCGACATTTCCATGGAATTGTCAATATGACGTTTTTTTGTCCAAAATTATTTCTTACAATAATTATATTTTTATAAAAACGAAAAAAATAATCTATTTGTGTAACATTACGACTTTATAAAACTCATCGACCTAATTTCGGACTGAACGTTGAAATATTATATTACATAATAATAACAAATATTTCATATACCACGTTGGTAATTTTTATCAAAAACTCAAATTCCTCTGTTACTGAAATTCTCCAATGTACAAAACTTTGAAACGAAAGATCGGACTGTCATGTTAAATATATTAAAATTTCTTTGCAAATATGTATATAAAAAAAAAACATTAAAATGTTGTGAATTTTTCCATGTTATTAAAATTATTTTCAATATAATAAAACACAATTTTTCCTAAACATAAATGCTAATTACCCATAAATGTGATTGTTAATGTTGTTAAACATGTGTGTTATTTGTTGTTACATTTGATGTGCAATAAAATCATTAAAACAAAGAATGAAAACAAAACAAACACAGCAACTAAAATTGCAAAGTAAAATAAAACAAATAATGTGATAATATCACATTATTATAAAAATTATTAATGAAAATAAATACAAAAGGATTAAAATCATACATCAATGAATGTTTTTGTTTATGGGGTAGCAGACTAAAAGTTTCGTAAATATATTATTTGTTATTAAAAAAACCAAAACAACAACAACAACCAATAAGCAATTTATGAAACAAGTTAATTTGAAAAAAAATGTTTATTTTGGTTGCCTATTGTCTGCATGCTATACTATTATTATTGCTACTAGATACTAAAAAATTGTTCTTCTCTTGCTGCTTATTTTCTCTATGCTTTCAAAATATTCTCCGTTTTTTAATTAGCAAATTAGTTGGTTGTTATTTTTTTTTATTTTTCACAATTTTCTCTTTTTATTTTCCAATCCTTCTATATATTTTGCATTTGTTATTATCTTATTTTTTTTTGTTTTTCTTTTATCATTTATTTTTTTCAACTTCCATTTTTAGTTATATTTATATTGTTATTTCTTTCTATAAAAAACGAAACAAATAAAAATACAAAGTACATGTGCCAAAGTGCTATAAACATATTTTTTTAATTACACACACCTTTTACGACAAATATTATTTGGTTATTTTGCCATTATATTTTGAAAAACTTCTTTATATACAACTTGTCCAAAAACACCACTCCCAAAAAAACACACTCAAACCAATATAAATTTTTTATGCTGAACTCTACATACACACACAAATTTCCAAATGCTTTAATTTATTAAATAATTCGCATATAATAAAAACATTAATCTTTACACGACAATCTATGTTCATTATTATGTGTTTAATGATATTGATTACATTCTGCAAAAAATATCATATGTAAATATTCTATTTATATAATATACAAATTAAAAATTACGGTTTTAAAAGTATTTCTTCACACAGCATTTTTTTAAAAAAATATATAATTTTATATTGCCCTTAGTTATTGAAAATAAAAATAAAAACAAATTAAAAACCCGAGAGAGAAATAATTATTTGTTGTTTATTAAATTAGAAATGATGTGCATCGACTTTATTTTTTTAAATCTTCCTGAGTCTTATGTATGAGCTCGTAAAGTGGATTTTGTATTAATTATAATAAAAATGCCGATAGAGGGCCATGAAGTTACTATGTAAGTTTAAAAACAACTCACATTTTTCAACAATTTGAAGGGACTCTCAATTTATAAATAATCCTAAATTAAATGGCCAGAATTTATATAATGAAAACAGAATATGAAAGCACTGACCAAATATCGGCTTTGGACAAATTTGTTAATAATATTTGAAAGCTGTACTGTTTTAGACTACTCCTGTTTAGACTACCAAAACCAGAATATATACAAAACTTCAATATCTGGTCCTACGACCTTCGACCTACGATCGTCAGACACGATTGAATTCAATAACCTGTAATGCCAAATTACCTTTACTGTAAAGTATCTAGAATGCAAACTTAGAGCTACTCTGCTTAGAAAATGTGTCTACACTATAAAAACATCGAAAATAGGACTATATTCAACATTTTTGCAAAGGAGTTTTTTACCCACCAAGAACTTGGATTGCCACATAATAAAATCGGGAATTAATGGAGGCTATGTTGAACATGGACCTATATTTATAATTTTCTGTAAAAAAGTTTTTAAAGAAGTCACCCCAATAATCTGGAATGCCAAATTACAGCCTCATTAGTAAGAAAATGCATGATAATACTTCAAAACAACGAAAATAGTGCGGTACTTTTATATAGATGCTATGCCGAAACATTGACCAATACCATCCATTTCAAATACGAAAAAACATAAGAGAGGGGTTGTACCTGTCAGTATTGAAGTAAATTTCCCACATCCAAGTATTTAAATGTCAACCACTTCTCTTAGGTATACTTCTCGGGTCTATGTCCTTCAGGAGTAAATATATACGCCATAGAAAACAAAATTTTTCATTTTTTTTACACAAAAGTCTGGGTCACCCTTTTCTCTGTGTAAAATTTCGTGATGTTCAGTTCAAAATTGGGACCCATAAAGTTTTTGATAAATTTCGTCCCCTAAATATTAAACGATCATTATCAAAACAATTGGGATCTGCTTTGGCCAGAACCCGTTCTACATGCAAAATTTTGTGACGCTTGGTGCATAACGGTGGCCTGCATCGTGTTTACAATATATAATGGACGAACGGACGGACACATGTCTAGATTGACTCTACTAGTCGATATATGACGAAAGGTATAATAAAAGATATTTCGTGGCGTTACACAGACATCCCTGACAACATAACTGTGTAGGGTGATTCAATCCCGACATACTCATGGAGAGCATTTTATTGTGCTGTCTTACTTTACTCTTCACTGGTCTTTAATAGGCAGGGTCAGACAGAGAGTAACAAATTTGGTTCTCACACATGTGTCGAGGTGTGTGAGAGTTTACTTGATACGGGACTAGTGCTTCGACTTTCGAGTGGAAGAGATTAAGTGAAATGATAACAATGAAGTACCAGTATATGTGAGAGCTATAAGTATGCTTCTGCAATCGTGCGCCTATGTGGCCCACGTTGTTATATTTGAATATATTTGTACAAGTTGGCGTATGATCAATGTGCCAATAATTACGTTGATCATACGATAAGGCCAACATACATCTTATCGTAATAATTTATATAGTTATCGGAATTGAAATTTAAATTACAAATAATAAATATATTAAACAAAATCACATTGTAGAATGTAATGAATATCATTGAACATAAATATTATCATTTTATTAACATAATACCCAAGAAACAACACATCAATCTCACCCCTTGCCAAGCAACAACACTACAACTACTAACAAAAAAATAATTAATTATTATTAATATATTAAACAAACGCTTCGAATCATTTTAACGCTCATTTTGTTCGCTTTCAAAAAATAAAAAAGAAAATCTAATTGAATACTCCCATTATTTTGTGTTCCATTTATGTTTTTTGCCATCCCATTTAGAATTAAGTTTATCATTTTGTGTTTATTAAAATATAACTTCAAATTTTAAATATTAAAAAAAATATTATTATAAAATACTAACATATTTTTTTACTTTCTACCTTTCTTCTTCAAAAACACAAATTACAACGTTTGTGTTTATTTTCGATAACCAAAATCTCAACATTATGAAATTATGATGCTGAAAATTATGAAATCTTGTGAATTCGATTTTATCCTGGGCCCCTTGACTCACAGACACATTGTGGTATGCGGCCACATAACATACGAATCGGTGTCACATTTTCTAAAAGATTTTCTCCATGAAGATCGAGAAGATGTCGATGTGGAAGTTGTATTTTTACATCGGTAAGTATAAAACCATTTATTTTTCTGTTTTTCCATTTTTTATTTTTTGGTTTTGAAATAATTTTAAAAAAGTGATATTCAAAGAAAATCCATGTGTATAAGTGGAACAAATTGCTTAAAGGATTTTTATAGATAATTTAATCGAAAAATAATATGAATAATAAACAATTTTTGTTTGAAAATCGAAGTCTAAATAAAATGACCCCAGGCGAAGTATTTAAAAAAATATTTAAACATAATAATAAAAAAATAAAAATTATTTAAAAATAATACTATGTACACTTAGAACAGGACAATGCAATATCCAATAAATTATATTTTTTTAAAGGTATTTTTGTACACCTTCTCCAAAAATAATACAACTTCCTGGGAAACGTTGTTAAAAATCTTTTTTTCTTACAAAAAATTATATATAAAATGATTTGTTGTAAAATCATGCTATTGGAAAAAATCGTCCTTTTTTATAATCTTAAGGATTTATTATTAAATAATTAAATATTAAAATTCTAAATATAAACTTTTCATATTAAAAAAAATGCAGTTTATATATATTTTTTAACGAAAAAAATATATCTGCAAATTAATATTTGAACTCATAAAATTAAAAATCAATTTTTCAAAATATTGCAATTAAAGCAGTTTGTTCCACTTAATTTAAAATTGTTATGTAAAATATTATTTTTAATATTTAAAACCAATATTTGTATATTTTAATATTGAAAATGTAATTTTTAAAAAAAATATATAATTTTCTTTAAAATATATATAAATAATTATAATAATAAGAACTAGTTTTAAGTCTATATTTTATAAACTGTGTAACATTTATATATTAAAAAATAATTATTGTAATTATTATTATTTTTTTATTTAAATAATTTTAAGTTTAGTTCATAAGTCAGTACTAATTTTCTTTAATTTTGTGTTATAAAACAAAACCCCTTTATATTTATTTATTTTATTTGAAAACAAAATATGAAAATATCATAATGTGTTTATTTTTTTGTGAAACAAAAAACAAACTAAAACCTTGAAACAATTACTGAAATCAAATAGCAAGGAGCCTGATCTGGAACTAGAAGGATTATTGAAGCGCCATTATACAACCGTGGCGTTTTTTCAGGGAACCATGATGAATGCCGTCGATTTGGAACGAGTCAAGGTACACAACACCACCAATCAGCCAAACAAATCAGACTCAAATGCAAAAAATGAAAACAAAATCTGTTTAAAAAAATAAAAAAAAAAAAACATTCTCACCACAATACCACCACAGAACATAGATCCAAAAACCACCCAAAGTGAATGTATGATTATTCCTTGAAAATTATTCCCAAAAAAAAAAAAAAAAACCAAAAGAATGAACGTACAAGAGACCATCAATCAAAGCCCCTCCTCTTCGTCTTTTGTTTCTTTGTTCCAAATAAAAAATTTGCAAATTAGAAAACTGCAACCTTTCTCATATCACAAACCAATTTCTGGTAATCAACAGGAATACCCGCCAAAAAAGAAACATTTTCTTTGCATCTGTTTAAAATCCTTGGTTTTATTTTTTAGTGTAAAATATCAAAAACAAATTTCACAAAAAAAATCCAATTTAAATTTTCTATCAAATTCAGCAAAACAGCCAAAATGTAAATGAATGAAACTTTGCATTGCATTTTGAAGTGCACTCCTTGCCTCGCAAACCATTTTGCTGATGAAAAGGCTTGAACAAGCTGTTCCGAGCCAAGAAATGAAAGCTGAGAGACAAGTTCTTATCACTGCTGCAATTTACTTTTTATTAGTTATTTTTTTTCTTCCAATTATGGCTTTTACCCCATCAAATCATTAATTTATTCGTTTTGGACTTGGCCGCAATGTGAAGCATTGTTGTGTTGTGTTTCATAATTCTCCATTGCTCCATGGGATGGCAAGAGGATAAATGGAGGAGGTTATATTTTGCTCATCATATAAGTTCCTTGTGGCGATATTAATTTTAAAATTTATTAAATATTTTAATTAAGTTAATTATTTTGCCATGGGAATAATTTCTTGTCTGTTACCGTCCAAGGTCACTTAAGGATTATTGCCTGGTTAACATTTCCATAGTTAAGTGGACTAATTTATTTTATCATAAACATCACCGAAGGACTTCTAAATGATGACCAGTTGCTCTCCCCTATGATTCAGCCACCCCAAATTTATTTAAATATTTATTTATTTTCTATTCTATTTTTGGCCAATTTTTACAAATTATTGGTTGCCACTGCCACAACAATGAATTTTGCTTAATTTTTAGGACCCTTTATTTTGGTTATAATTTCTGTTCAAAATATTTTTTTTAGTTTTAAATTTTTTATTTTTACTTCATCAGAAATGATTACAAAAAACTATGTGCTTTGGATCAAGTTATCAATGCTTCAATGGAATGACATTTATTAGTAAATATATATACATACCTATTTTGAAACTTTTACTTAGACATACTTAGATTGAAATCACTACTCTACTTATTTCGTAATTTCTATACATAGGCAACTGCTTCAAAACTTAAAAAAAAACAAATTTTTTAAATTTTTATATACAATTTATTTCAATTCTAAGTAGAATTTCTTTTACTTTCTCTAAAAAATAAAACAAAATATTTTTTAGGTTAACTATTTTTAACTTGTGTAATAAGTATTTAAAAAAAATTATAAAAATTATTAATGTATTTGAAAAAAAAAAAAATTAAATTACAATTTCGTTGGAAATTAATTATTTAAAATTGTTTGTATATAGTAAATTAAGTTTGTTATTTTTCCTTCTAGTAGTAAGAAAGTATTTGTATTGTATGTATAAGAAACTGGTTTTTATTAGATACTACTAACCTCTTAAGTTTTAAGACTAAACAAATACTCAAAAACAACAAAATGTTAAGGTGAAAAGGGAAATTCAAAAGTTGCAAGAAGTCTAATCTTAATCTTAATAAAAAAATAACACAACTTTTTAATTTGCCTTTTCCCCTAAACTATATTTAAAAATATACCCTTGAATTATGCACCTGTTATTTATTTCTTATAAATTCTTGTCAACCAAACCACCTATCTCAAATTGATCAATATATTCTCGTCTAAAAAAAACCAAAAACCTAAAAAATCCCCGCTCATCACCACAACAATTCAATTTCAACTGAAAACCTTTATTTATTTTTCTCAAAAACAAAAAAATCAATTTGGACCAAATCCACAACAATCCACAATTGGTAACAAACAAAAATCATGAAAACAAAACCATTGGTAATCCACAAACAAATTCCAAAGAAAACCACCCGATTTGGAACTAGAAGGTTTATTCAAACGCCATTTTACCACAGTGGAATTTTTCCAAGGCACTATTATGAATCCCATCGATCTACAAAGGGTTAAGGTAATACAAAAATTTCTGTTTGCATTCTGTCCATTATTCAGTTTTAAGTTTTCACACTCTCTCTTCGATTATTATTTCTCTTTTCATTTAACTCATTCATCTATTACTATGTGTTCTTCTATCACCTTGCATACTAAAAGAAACGTACGAACAAACATAAAAAAGAAGAAGAAAAAAATTATAACAAAATAATGCATATTAATGTTAAGAAAATATAAATGTTGTTTAAATGTTAATAAAATGTTGTAACCAAAAAAAAACATTATCGTCACTCACAATATATCTCTTCTAAACAACAACAATAACAACATAATAATATTCTCTATCAATAACTTATTTTTACTCATATGGTAGAACAAACAAGAGGGAAATAATTTTATAAAATGCATCTGATTTGGGAAATATTCCAAAAATAATGAAATTAATACTAATAAATATGATCCTTTCAAATTCTCTCGGTCTTACTCTATTATGCTCTCTTCATTACAGAATAATATATAAATAATCTATTCTCTCTGTTATTGAAATTTATTCGAATTTTCAAGACTTTAACATTTTCTATAAAAAAAACCAGTAAATAATAATAGTACTTTAATATTGAAGAATGTTTATTACGATACCCTACACAACTACACGAACTCTAACTTTCTGAGGATGTTTGAAAAATTCTGGAATAATGATATATGCCCCCTCTTGTACAGCCCCCTCTTGTACAGTCCTTCTAATTACTTGTCCAGATTACCTTCACGGTGGGTGTGTTGTGATTTTCGGATTATACTCTACTCGAAAACACACAAAAAATTATGTTTTCGGTCCATTTCATGCCAAAATTTTAATCTGATCATCACCGAAAATTGTAGGCGTTGTTCTTGACCATAACTGGAACTTCATGAAAAATTTCAAAGCCATCAGCGCGATATTTCTCCCTTTAATGTGGTAATGGATTACTAAATAATATCTGAATACGTAAGCACATGTAAATATTTGACTGTAACTCCCACATCTGAGTAGATACATCACTATATTTGGTATCAATTTAAAGGTCAACCACTCCTCTTGGATATGTTATCAACTCCTAGGGTCTACATCCTCCAGGAGTAAATATATATGCCATATAATACAAATTTTGTCATTTTTCACACAAAAGTCAGGGTCCATTTGACCCGCTAAATATTGACCGATCTTTATCAAAACATGCACGCTTATTCTAACCCTCCCTTCTCCATGCAAAAATTCGCGGTGTTTGGGCCATAATTGCGGCCTCTGGAGCGACCAGAAAAACCGACAAAAATTTAAATTTTTTTATAAAAATATTAACCGATCTTTTCCAAAAACAATAGGGGTCTTCATTGGCCAGAACCCATCCTACATGCAAAATTTCGTGAAGATTGGTCCATAACTGTGGCCTGTATCGTGTTTACAAATTATAATGGACAGACGGACGGACTGACACACATGTCTAGATCGACTCAGCTAGTCGAGATATGACGATCGGTATAAAAATTAGGACCAATATTTCGCGGCGTTACAAACATTTGGGGCTGCACAAAGCTATAATACCCTGACAACATAGTTGTGTAGGGTATAATTAAATAATAATAGTACTTTAATATTGAAGAATGTTTATTACGATAACCTATAGATTAGGAGTGAAAAATTCCTAATGACTATTTCAAAATCTACCCGCGAAAACGGACTAAATTTAAGAGAATTTTCAACAATATTTAAATAAGAAACGAAGCATAATTGTAACCTTGTTTGTTGTACCATATTCTACACACAGATCCCATATGGCTATTTAACTTTTAAAGCTGTCTGGCCACATATAAAGTTAATTCCAGAACTTTTGTTTGATTTTGTGACTATTTTAAACCAAACTAAATATGTTTGGCAGCGAAACAAAGCACGAAATGTTATATATTTAAACCAGTGTTTACAAAGCGATTATAGCTAAAATCACCTTTTAAGCACATCGTCGTAGTATTTTATGATTTCAATAACGAGATTACCAAAAATTTTCTTCACAATTCCTAGACACTAGGGAAGACTGGGGCTTGGTCAGGTGACTAAATATTTAAATATTTTTATAAAAATCTAAAACTTGAAATAATGATTTAGCGTCGCGAAAGTAAAAAATCAAATTATAAAATTCCTTGACCAATCCCGAACTTCATATAATACCCTGACAACATAGTTGTATAGGGTTTAAAAACGATTTTTTATGCCAAACCTGCCACTCTGTCTGATAAGCTTCTTCAAAATTCTCAAAAAATTGACAAATATTTATTTTTTTAGAAGAAAGATTTGGTAAGCAATAAAACATATCATACCCAATTACAGCTAATTTGTAATTGGGTATCGAAATGCGTTTTCAAAATCCTCAATCATTTTTATTAATCATTTTCGGTAGGGAGATTTGGCAGCCAGTGAGTAAAAAAACTTTCCAAAAGTCCTCAAAACACGAAAAGAAGGGGTAAACATTAAATGGGAGTATTAGCAAAAACGTATCCGATCTAGTTCATAGGTACAGCTGAAAAAAATATCTCAATTGGTCTAGAAATCATTAATTTTGCGCCGCTAAACCATTGATATCGACCAATGTGCGTCGTTATGTTCTGCCAGCCCAAACTGGGTCCTAACATTTATATAAGGGCATATTCCGAAACATACATACATATATTAAAATTTATTTGTGTATAATTGTTGTACCCACCAACAATTCGGAATGTAAAATCACTGTCACTTCGATTAAAAAATACGTCTAGGACAAGCAAAATACATTAAATGAAATGGGATCAATGAACGGGTCAAAGCATCAACATTGAATATTATGTGCCATTTTTGAACCCTGAATGCCAAATCACAGCCTCTTCCGAGTGTCATACATGCGGCTAAAATCTGAAAAATAAGGTATACCAATGTTTAATACCAAACTTTCTAGACCTTAGACTTTATATGAGGTCCATATATTATGCTACATAAGTTGTTATCTTTCGAGAAAACTAACTACCCAATAACATGTATGAAATTTGCATGTTGGAAAGTTCGGGTAAAGGTTTCCAATGTTCTGTGCCTTTCGGAACAATAGCCTTGCGTAAACTGGGAATAACTTCATGGTATTATTCCTTATATATCGTATGATCTTGCAATACGTTGCCGTACGTTTTATGCCTAAAAATTCATAGAATTAGTAATATCATTAGCGGCCTCTCTGATATCTACTAACACCAAACATTTATTTGCAAAAAAAAAAAAAAAAAATCGATTGTCATAAATGGCCATGGCATGCCTCTCAACTAATGTTAAATGCAGGCCACACCAAAACACGACTGAACATTTTATCTGACATAAAAAAATTCTGACTATCCAAAATGACCCCAACTTCATGTTTATATTGTATATATGAAACAACATTAAAATTTTCAATTACGAATATGGCCATTCAGCAGTACAAGTTTTACAATAACAATGGGAATCTGAGTGTTCGACGCTGATATTAGATATTCTCACTGCAATTGTAAATAAAATTAAATTTTTTATAATTAAATAATTTACAAATATTTCACTGGAAAATTGCAGTTTGAACATCTTATACATATTTCCTCTATCCTATTAATCATTATACTCTCACAAATTATATAAACTTTAGACTTCTAAGTAAGTGAAATTATTATAAACAATATTTAAGTTCAAATGTGAATAAAGGAAATTTTATATAGCAATGTAAATATGTACATATTAGTTGTGTGATTAAATAAAGGTCAAATGGAAATTTAAAACACAATTTCATAAATATATGCGAAGCTTTTGTTATTTGAAATAGCCAAAAAGGAAAATATATTTCAATGACTACAATATAAATATTACTAAAATTAATAATTCGAGACATGGTTTTGTCTTTATCTATGAAATTGATTGCAAATTTAACATTACTGTCTTAAGTACGATGGAGGTTTTATTTTTAAACTTATTTAAATTAAATGTATTTTAAGTTGTGGTTCCAATTTTGTATACAAAGTATTGATAGGAATATTTGTGCTGATCCTAGGTTTCTTATGAAAGATGAAGAGTTACATAATATAAAAATTTAACGTCTTATCAATAAATTGAGTCATATTTTGGAAATGTATCGTAATAAAGAAGTCAATCGAATACGAGAATCCAGCTTAAATCAATATCGTGTGACTGATTTTTGATCAACATCCAGCAAAGACAAATAATTGTAATAAAAAATAAATGATTGAAAAATTCTTTAATCACACAACTTGTTAGTGAATTTCCTAATTGCACTTAAATGTTGTTTATATTGGTTTCACAAAAACACAAGCATAACCTAGCATAACATTACAACAACACAAATAAAAACTATTTCCACAAGCATAACACTTTCAAATAACTACTCTTTGTAGCTTTAAATGTGATTTCATTTCTATCGCTAAATATTGAAAACAAACAACAACTAAAACACCCTACACCAACAAACAAAGAAAACAACAGCAATGTATAATGTATTGAATTCAGGTCAAATATGTTAAATGTAAATGTTTCAATATATATAAATTAGAAAATGTTTATTCATAAATAAAAAAAAATATTTAAAAAGAATTAATAATTTCACGAACAAGAAACGAATAATTATTAAATTAATAAACTATTTATACACCTAAGAAAGAATTATAGAGTAATTACTTATTAAGTTTGTTATTGAAATACAAAATAACACCATACTTTTCCCCTCGTGTACACCACAATATTTGATGTGTAATTTCAGTGGGAAAATGATGGGAGTTAGTTTTTTTTATAATTACAACTTTTTTGTAATTTTTATATATGTAAAAATATAAAATTAAAGTAAAAGTTAAAAAACAGTAGCGAATTCATTGCAAAATAATCAAAAAGATTACTTAACAGTTTATAATTTTTGCAAAAAAAAAAAAATAAATAAAAAAAATTGATTATAATCTTATGAACGAAGAAACTATACATACAATAATTAGCAAATAGCTTAGGATAATTGTAAAACAAGTTGTAAATTTAATTGTAAATGTGTTGTTAAGCAACATAATTATTTGTAATGGTAATGTCGAGAAAATAAATACATAAAACTTTATAAACTTAACTAGTTATAAAAAAATATTATCTCGACATAAGATTTACAAAAATTATGTTTTCTTGTATTAGTTTATAGATTTCAATTACAATACTTTTTGAGCTAATTTGTGAAATTTATAATTTTGTAAATTAATTTTTTTTTATATTTTTAAAGCGCATGCAGATTTATTAGTTTAAATAGAGCATGTGTATATTGTTCATTTTAAATCAATATATTTATAATAGTTTAGGAACATATTTAGCAATGTTTTTAACATTTTTATTTTTTTCTTTTTTTAATTTTAACTTTGATTTAATGGTTTAAATATAGTTAACCGGAAAATTACAGGATTTTAGGATTAAAATTAATCCAACAAGCATATTTTAGTAACGGTATATTTCCCACAAAATGCAAAATTTTTAGTTTATTATGCCTTAAACTGTAAAAATCTACAAATATTGAATGTTAAAAATACATGTACGAACATTTCAATCTGTGGGACTTCCATGGTATACTATCTAACATCAGGTGGACTAAAAATTGTTTTGGTGTCAGAAGAAAACGAAATACCAAACTACACACACTTATGTTGGAATATTGGGCTAGGACCTTGAAAAAAACGTGCATAAAATACCAAATGATAGGAGATACCATTGTGACAGAACACCATTGTGACCGGCCAAAACAAGCATTTAAAAACCATGTTTTAGAAATATATCAATATGAGTGGTTAAAACCTTTCTATGTTTCTAACACTCAGCGGAACAATACAGACGGTCGTGTCCAACCTTGTTATACTCTGGGAAAAATGTGTGATCCAGGATTTTTTTCTTCTCTAATTTAAAATAAAAAAATATTGAACGACATTTTTTGTAAACATTAAAGTCAAGGTCTATATGACCCGCCAAACTCAAAATCAATATGTAAGTTTAACAGAAACTAGGAATGTCAAGATATAGCGCCACCAAGGGTAATATCGTTAAACTATTAAAGGAAGCATTGTTTGTAGAAAACAATAAATTTCTCCATTGCCGAGGCTGACTTAGATGGAATAAAAAATCTGCTTAGATGAAATAAAATAATATTAACGAAACTGACACAATGACTAATCGAGTAAGATGGCGTCGCTTTGCTTCCAAAAGACCATAGCTGAATTGATTCATATAGTCAAGTTATGACGATGTGTATATTAAAAACTGGCTCCCGGACCAGATATGTTCCATTAGAAATAGCGACGTAAATGGCATGCATTTCCGTCGTATATATTAGGTTGGGGGAAAAATCTATTATTTTTCGGTAGATGGTTATTTCAACTTTTAAAAAATTGCCCGCCGTTTTCGTTCCACCCTATTAAATTTTTACGTGTTTCTTGCAGAATCGTAATCAGCGTCCTCGAAACACTTATATGTGAGATTTATTTATTTCATAAACCCACTGCCCTAAAATGGGATCTCTGGCCCATAATGCATTACCATAAAATTGGTCGTTAGTTTTGTTTTTTTTTTTTTTTTGGAAAAAAACATACCGTTACTAAAATAATTCAATAAACATATTCAATAATTTAATAATAATCTATTTTTCAAATTTCATAGAAAAACAATCCAGTCTAGATATAAATTCCTAGCACATTATTTGAACCATATTAATAGCACCCGGTATTTCTTTAGGGATATTTATTCTCAGATATCTCAACATTTTAATCAAAGGACTCTAATCAATTTATTAAACCTAATCTCTAACCAGAAGTTATTATTTTTTAATCATTACGCAATTCCCTGTACCATAAATGCAGTAGAGAAAGGATATAGAGGAATGTCTCGTATAAGAGAAAAATGTTTCACAAAATAATTGAGTTATTCACTCTTATACTTATATACAATTATGACCTATTCGACCTACTTATATCCGTTTCCAGCAGCATAAGAAATTTTATTTGAATTAGAGATCTAGGTGAACAGTTTTCAAAAAAAAAAAAAAAAAAAAATAAAAAATAAAAATAAATAAAATAAAAAAACATATCTGATTATATTTGCAATGTGTATATTTTTTAAAGAGCAATTTCCTTTAAACTCACATTTGACCTGATGCAGCACCTTTCACCAATAAAGGCTTATATTCAAACAATTATTACACAAAAATATTATTCAAAATCTTTCCACTATTTTGTTAAAAACATTTGTTGTTAATGCATGCAAAACTTCTTTCACATTAATGTTTGTTGTTGTACTTAAAAAATGTATATATGTATTTGTAACCAAAAGCACATAAAAATGATTATTATTAAATGTTTAAAAGCAATATGTTTGTTCCCTCAGTAAATAACATGAATAAAGATTTTTGAAATAGAAAAATTGCATTCAAAATATATTTCAGTTATAAATATGAAATGAAATCTATGAAACGATAAACTAATTAAAATAATACATAAAAAATATTTGAAAAAACTCCTTAAATATTTGAATGGAAAGTCCAAAGGTCAACTCTATCAAGTACAATAAAATATTTTTATTTGAAATTAATTGTATATCTTAAAAAATTTATTAAGGGAACAAATCTATTGTTTTATTTGTTTCTTCTTTTTCATTTATCAATATATTTTCTTTGTGTTTATTTTTTCGTTCCTTTCATTCTTGTGTTTCTCTTCGTTTTTGTTTTCTCTTATAATTTTTGGACCATATAAATATATATTTGTTTTGCATATAAATAAATGCTTACTTCAAGTCATCATCTAATTCATAAATGGGCTTTCAATTGTTGACTCTGTGTCACCCATACATACAACCTACAACAATAAAAAAAACAACAATACTCATACATACAATATTATATGTACTTGTACATGTCATTTGTCAATTTGCATTTGAAAAAACAAAAAACAAACACGAACAATAATTAATAATCAACAAAAAACAAATATTCGTCCAAACACATACTATATAAATATTCAAAAGACTCACACCCACACATTCCAACCCACCCAATCACAAATAAACCACATCTATGAAAGGAAAATCATACGACAATTCATTCAATTCAATTAAAAATAAATAAATAAAACTAATTCTACAACAAATTCTACTGACAAAATAAACAACAACAAAACAAACAAAAAACAAAACATCTTTAAATGTATAATAACTTTATTATATTCTTCTATAATACTATTATTAAGGTCCATGAAGCTGATGCCTGTTTAGTGCTGGCAAATAAATATTGTCAGGATCCAGATGCCGAAGATGCTGCCAATATAATGCGCGTCATTTCTATCAAAAATTATAGTGATGATATAAGAGTTATTATACAATTAATGCAATATCACAATAAGGTAATAATATTGGTTTTAAAATCACAATCCAATTAAGTATGCTAGACTAAACAAAAGCGAACAAAAAAAAAGAAAATTTAATCTAAAAAAACGAAAAACAAAAAATAAGCTATGAAAATTTATAAAAAAAAATACCGTAAAACTAACTTACACACGCACTCTCTTAAAAAACGTATGCATGTATATCGGAAGTGGATATTGAGTAGGTCCATATGCGTACATATGTGACCCAGGCAAACAAACAAACAAACATTCTGTCTCCAAAATGTTGTTAAAAAAACTCGTATGCTATGTATGTGTTGTCGTCACCCAACCCCCTCAACCACCACCTCAAATGATTTCCCCAACACCATCACCACTACTAACAATGTCCGTGTGGTCCGAAAAATAAAACTACCATGATCGAATGGAGATCATCCTCAATCCCCCAATAATTGGGATTGTGTAATCAAACGCCTTTCCATAATTTCCCCCTTTCCCCCACCCTGTTTTTGTTTTGTTTTCAAAACCGATCTTGTGATCAATGCGAATGAAAAAAAAGATTTACGAAACTCAATACCACATATCCATCTAAATACTCGTTGTTACAATGCGCCATTGATCCTTCCAGTAGAAAAGTGACAACTTCTCCGGAAAGTTGTTGAGTTGTTCCGTAACCGGCTTTTGATGTTGTTAATGTTCAATACGTAATTTTGAAATCAAAAATCAAAACCACCAAAAAAACCCAATCAAAATTTGTACAATTTTTATTTGTAATTTTGTAACATCCAATTGTAGGCCTATTTACTTAATATTCCCTCGTGGGATTGGAAACAGGGTGATGATGTCATTTGTTTGGCGGAACTGAAGCTGGGCTTTATCGCACAAAGTTGTTTGGCGCCAGGATTTTCGACCATGATGGCCAATTTGTTTGCTATGCGTTCCTTTAAAACGGTAAGTTACAACTACATCCATGATTAAAAAAAAACACACAATTCGAATCACATCCCAACTCTCCCTGAGATGAGGGAGAGTGGGTGGTGAGAGATATACAACAACTACAAAGAAACTAATCTTAGCAGTAACCAACCAACCACACACATACATTATCACCACCAAACATTACCAGGAACAACCGAGTGCTCTTCTTCATAGAATCTTCTAGTTAAATCATTTTCTTTTCGCTAGCAACAGAAAACAAAATGAAAATAATAATTTTTTAAATAAACCCAAAAAAATAAAACCATCTACCGATTTAATTGTTAATTCGCTACAGTCGCCAGACATGCAGTCTTGGACAAATGATTATCTACGTGGCACAGGCATGGAAATGTACACAGAAACCTTGAGTCCGACATTTATCGGGATACCTTTTGCTCAGGCCACTGAGTAAGTTTAACAAAATGCTCTGGCATTTGTTTTAATTGTCAAATAAAGAAAAAATACAAATAAATTTAAAATTACGCCTATTTAAAATTAAGATGTTCTAAGAATCGTATAAATTATTCGTACACTTACTTGTATGTCTATGATAAATATCAGCAACAACAACAAAAACATTCTACACACACACACCTATATACCTCTACTACTTCCTGTCTGAAAGAATACATTTTCTTTGATTGTCTTTATTAGTTGAATTTTATTTTATATTTTGGAATTGTCTGTCTAAAATAAAGCTTTAGTTTTGTTTTTTAATTTGAGTTATTGAATTTTAAGCTTATTATTTCATTTAAAATTCATTTACTTTGTATAAAATTGTATTATAAGTTTTATTTCACTGAAATATTGCCATGTTTTTGAGTGATCAATTAATTATAATAATAATGGAATAGTCCGAAGTGAAAATTACACAGTTGATAGGCAAGGAAAATGTCAGACCTTCATTTCTGTAAATATTATAATAAGTTGTGTAAAAAATTGTGTTGCGATTATTTTCCGGTTAAGTAGTAGGTTTGCCAGCCTGGCTGTTCTTAGCTGAATTGTCCAGCTTTTTTACGACTGCGCAGTTTGAAGCTAAATATAATTTGTCCAGCTAAATTGAATAAAACAGCAAAACAATTCAGTGGATCCGGTATTAGAAAACAGAGGGTCACTCTTGGTCCAAACGTTTCAGATAAGATTGACATTTTGGAAATTCGTACTAGAACGGTACGAAAAGTACTAAATGTGGTACCATTTGTATTTGGCGAACCGGTAGTGCTAGAACTGGAATTTGGAAATAAAATTACTGTTGAAGTGTTGGATTGGGGTAAGGGTGTAGTTTTGGGAATTTGTACTTTTAGATACTAAATGGTACAAAATTTGGTACAATTGGGATTTAGGTGAACCGATAGAGCTAGAAACCGGAAATTTGAAATTAAGATTGGGGTATATGGGATGTTTTGGGAATTCGTAGGTAGTTATGGAAATTTATATTAATATCCACTAAATGGTACTATATTTGGATTTAAGTGAACCAATATTTAAAATTTAGATTTTTTGTGGAAAAAGTATACCAGAGTACAAAGCGTAATAAATGATACCAAATTTAGTACAGAGCTAGATTTTTGTTGCGGCCAGAATTGGTGTGTATGATAGTTTATGATAAATATAATATTTCAGATAAATTCGATGGTTCTTTATAATCTCCAATTTATACCATTTTATTATTGGACATAGATCAGGTAAAAATGGAAAAAGTCCACGAAAACACACGATTATCAATTTTTAGTATTTAAGAACTATGTCTGAAGTCTTATGAGCAAGATTTTGTAGAACACTTGAAGGTCGTAAAATCCTTTCTTGTGACTGAAACTCATAATAGAAGCTGGATATGTTAAAAGATCTTCATTAGATTTGACAGAATATTGTCATGTCAAAAACAACTGAAAAAGTGTCAGCCGGTGTTGCCGACTCAGAGGTCTACGGAATAAATCACAGGTTTTATTATAACCTTTATACAAGGGGCTGTACCAGAAGAGGCAACCTCTTCCTATAGACCCCTAATGGATAAAATCAGACATTCAATTATTCTGTACTTTTTATATTTATTTATTAAATAATTTTTCAGCAAAAATTTGACTATGAATTTTGTGTGAGGGGCACCAGAAGGAGGGGACCGATGGGTCCCATCTTCCAACTTAAACTAAGTTTGAAAGAAATATTTTTTGCATTAGATCGTACTATTGTTATTGGTCTAAAAATTTTTTTAAATATTTACCCAATGTAGAGGAGATACCCGAAGTAGTCCCAATTTTGGATTCAATCCAGGCTAGGTAAAAATATTACGATGTGTAAAATTAGGATGAAATTTAATATTCTGTTCGCTCCATATGAAATTTACAAGTTTTCAAAATTTTGAGCCTTTGTGGGGTAGGTACTAAAAGGAGTGGACCGATGAGTCCCAACAAAAAACAGACATGATTACATGGTGCAAAGTTTGGTTTGAATAGGATGCTCTGGGCGCATGATATAATATTATAAAATGCATTTTCAGCTCATTATTTACTGGAAAGGTACCATTATGTGGGAGGTGCCAGGTACTTAATATGGGATTGAAAGAAATTTTAGGATGTGCACAATTTGGATCATATCGGACATTCCATTAACCTAATATTGGATTTATAAATATGTAGAATGTTGATCCTTTATGGGGACTTACTAGAAGCAGTATATCAATGGGTCCATCTTCGGTATCAACCAAGGCTAAGTAGAGTTATAAATTCTACAATGTTTGGTTCACGTCGGATAAACCATTCGCATTTTATCATACAATTAATTTCCTGGATAATTTTGACCATTAGCCATAAATCAATAACCTGAAATAGCCGAAAAATATAAAATGATTTTACCCCATCAAGTGATAATTGATTGATTTTGCAAAATAGTCAGGCGTAATCACAGTTGGTTTGTTTATTAGTGGCGAACGTATGGCATTGTCCACATTTCATACTCAAACGTTAAAAGCGATACCACCTCACTGAGAAGTTTGCTGGTGCCTGAGACTCCAGCATTTTGTGAATCGGAAACTGGCAACTGTAATTTCAATATTGATTACAGCAAAGATCCAACGGGATGCACAAGTCATTTGAATGTGTGAAGAACTCTGAAAGATATATTCTAGCCATTCAAATTTTATTTGGGTGGCCTAATATCGTACTAGTATCAAAAAATAATTTGTCGTCCTTAAGAACGATTAAAACTCCAATTTTTCCAGGCCTTACTTACACATCATATTTTTTATAAAAATGTCTTGGAATAATAGGGTTCTAGGTTAAATTAAGCAATTTTTCATTGAGTGATTATTAGGGTTCAAGTTTTTCTTAAAATTTTGTATAAAATTCAATTCACACTTCTTATATAAAATACTATATATGGGCTACTAAATATGTTGAAACACATTTCTTTCATAACATTTTGTTTGCTGCTAGTTTTTCACTACACTGCTATGTTTAACAACTACATTCAACATTGTGAATATAAAATGTAGTCTCATAAATCATAAATACTCTAAATTACATATAGTTATAATGAAACTCAAAAACATGGCATGATCTTTAATTTATTTCCTTTTCTTTATTTTTTATTGTTGTACAAAAATTTCCCTTGAACATAACATTGTGTTTTGTACATTTCTCAAAAAAATAAAAAATATAAAAAACGAAAACAACAAAACATATCAACAACATCAAATTAAATTAATTGTATTGTTGTAATTATTGTCAAATATTTTTTTTACAAAAACAAATTATGAAAGAAAAATACATTGCTGTCTATTTCAAATACATACTCGTATATCTGATATTATTTATGTTTCTTCATAAATGTGTTAAAAGAACGAAAAAAACAGAAAATTGATTGCCTTCGATGTTGTGAAACAGCTTTTTATTATAATTGTACTGCTCCATTTAAAAAAAATAAAACTAAATAATAAATTAAGTTCAAGAAACAGAAACAGAAACGAAACAAAAAAGAAATATAAATAAGAAAACGTTTTTCTTCATGTATTTAGTTCTCTTATTGTTATTATTACCGTTCTTATATTTACTATTAAAAATTATGATTATTATTATTGTCATTACTGTGTTATTTAATAAGAATTTCATTTTGATTTATTGGTTTTATTGTAAACATGATGACTTTCTTCTTATCTACCATCAACTACAACTCTATCTACTAATACAAAAATTCCAACAAATACTAAGACACTACTATTATTATTTTTTACTACAGACATATATCTTCTCTACATGTTCTCTATATCGATGTATACATTTATTTATTTAATTTTTTTATGAAATGCTTAATGTTGTTCGAGGGTGTTATGATAATTCGTCATTAATGTAAAATTTCATGAATATGGCATTTGTTTTTCGTGTATTTTTGGTTAAATTTGCTATTTTTGATTGATTGATTGCATACGCTAAATTTAGTATTTTCAAATTTCATTTTTCTCCAATTGACAACTTGTTTCGAAATTTCTGTCATAAAGCCCTCGAATTGAAAAAAAAATAATATTTTTTATGTGCATAAATGTTGGATGTTATAATAATGGAAATATTATTTTGTGATGATTTTCAAATGTTATATTTTTTAAACTTCCTACCTGTTCTGAAGTGCAGAGGTTTTATACTGGATCTGTAAAAATGAAATTAGTGGGCATATTTTCGTGGAAGATAAATTATATTTATAAAACATTTACAGTGAGTGTAATAAGTATTTTGCCTCATACGAATTTGACGAAATTCCAATATATTTGACAAAAGCCAGCATATTAAAGATGTAAATTGAATTATGTGTGATGGAATATGTTTGTGGACATGTTTAGATCTTATTTCTTCAAGAATCACTGCGAAAGACCCATTGGCCTCGAAGGTATCGGCTAAAATCTATAACAACCCAAAAATGTTTTTCACAAAAAAGTATTTTGCTTTTTATTATTTTATTAGAAAAAAACACTACACCTCGCACGTTTGGTCTTTCTTTAACTACCATTAAGGATAACCATATATTATAAGCGATTCGGTGACGATTCCAACAAACCGCGGAATTTTTTCGAGAGTAGTTTCTCACATCTAACTTCAATACATTCTCCAGCAATATTTTATGTCACAATTTGTCATTTCTCGTCCTAATATCAAAATAAGAGCATAAAATATAGTGGTGGCAGCTTCAAATCATTCCAGATATGTCTTGAGCAATAAAATGTTGGTTGTGCAAAATATAACGCGAGAACTATTAAATCCGAAATTCGACAAACAAATTATTTACAAAAAATATCGTGAACTCCCATTTTTCTGACTTCGAAATCGGTATGGTACATTAATATCGATCTAGGAACCAATATATATGATAAACATATCAATAAGGAGGTCAGATTCAAAGATATGAACGGTTCTGTTGCAATATAAATACTTCTTATTTCGAAAATAAATAGATCGACTAGTTTATTTCCTGCTGCATTTTATTCGCAACTGATGGTTTTAATCAGAGACAAAATATTGAATGTGCATTCGCCATCAGCTACCCCAGCTTTTCAAAAGACAATACTACTCGACGAAGAATTATGTTATTGTTATGGTTTTAGAACCGTTCATATCTTTGAATCTGACCACCTTGTTGATATTTTAATCACATATATCGGTTTCTAGATCAATATTAATGGACAATAACGATTTCTAAGTCAGGAAAATGGGTTTCGCGATATTTTTTTTTAAATTATTTTTTTGTCGAATTTTGGTTTTAATAGTTCTGAACTTCCTGTTCTCGCGTTATATTTTGTAAAACCTTCTTTTTATTATTCTAAACAAATTTGGGATGTTTTGAAGCCGCCACGACTATATTTTATACTCTTATTTTGATATTAGGACGAGAAATGACTAAATGTGACATAAAATATTGCTGGAGAATGTACTGAAGTTAAATGTGAGAAACTACTCTCGAAAAAATTCCGCGGTTTGTTGGAATTGTCACCGAATCGCTTATAATATATGGTTATCCCTAATGGTAGTTAAAGAAAGACCAAACGTGCGAGGTGTAGTGGTTTTTTTCTAATAAAATAATAAAAAGCAAAATACACATAATTCAATTTACATCTTTAATATGCTGGCTTTTGATGAATATATTGGAATATTGTCAAATTCGTATTGAGGCAAAACACTTATTACACTCACTGTATATTTTTTTATAACACAAAGATTGGCTAATGTCAATTTCCCAAAGCAGTATTTTACTTACTTATATCTAAGTATTCGTTAATAGAAACATTGCCCATCATGTCAGTTTACCCACTATAATTTCTACACATCATGGCGGCCGTGGATCAATGGTTCACACAACAATAATGTTAGGGTATTAAACGTTTACGTGGCTCACGGTTTGTAACGCCACGAAATTTGGGATCAATCGTCACTAAATTTTGCATGTAGATTTGACGAATACTATAATTTTGGAAAAGATTCTGGCAAATAAGGGTCAAATACCTATTTTTTACCAATTTTTCTATTAACCCGAAGGACTCAACATAAGAAAATTGTAGATGGCATATTTGGTAAAAAAATAAGCATGGAGAAGTTGCTAAAGTGAAATGGTTGGCCTGTAAATTTAATATTCTCAGATTGTTTAGTAGTGTTATTATTGCACACGAGGGTGTCGCAAAATTTAGACCAAACACGGTAATTTGTTCCGCAGACACTTAATGACAAATTGTAGTTGTGTATATTTCCTCGTCCGACTATATTACTTCTAATTAAATCGTTGTCATCTTCTTACTCTTCTATCGACGACTTTTCACCTTTTGACATTCCAAATATTGTATTGAAACCTAATGAAATGAGAAATGAACCTACAGATGTCATCTTCGTATTTAACGTAGTTTAATACAAATATTACGAAATGTAAATTAGGGGTCTAAGGGAGCCTCCGCATCTCGGTTTCAAAAACTTGAATTTTGATTTTTTTTATTTAATTCGAACCTACACTAATTCAATAATGTCCCTTTAAATTTTCAATTGAAAATCTCAACAACTCTTAAAGATATAACCGATTTATTTGTGGTCGAATGAAGGTAATTTTTCCAAAATCTAATATTGAGCCAATCGGCGAAGTTCTTCCTTTTTTTTTTGTAACATAGTCTGTAGTCAAAAATAGGCGAATTAAAAAAAAAAAATTTTTGAGCGAAGTCAATAATCCTAGTACATACGAGAGCCAGACACCAGCCTTGGATTTTCCGGATTTCCTTGGAATTTCCGGATTCCATAATCACCAAAAACAATAACAACCAAATTTTGCAAATTATTTTTCTTTTCTTTTAAATCTTCAATTATATATGTGTAAAGTTACAAACCTTAACATGCATTGATGTTCATTTACCAGCCCAACAAAAATCTTGAAAATTTAAAATCGAGAAAGGGGGAGGTCCCTTTAAATACTGACAATTTGAGGATGATATACCAAATGAGATGGATCCTATATTTAGGTTTCATAAAATTACACTATGTTCAAAATTCTGGTTGAATTCATGTTCCTTATTAGCAATATATGATATGATTATAAATTTACCAAATATTGAAGATTTAGGAAAGGTACTAGAATTATATGCCTCTTTTCACGTCATATTATAAATTTATATGTAGAAGATTCTGGGTCACGTTCACTAGTTGACGTCAGAGCATGAACGACTCCCAAAGCCTAGGTTCTTCTTCTTTGAATCAGGAAACACCTTGGAACTTCCAACGTCCATAATTGGCACATGGATATTGCTGTAAATAAATATTTTAAATACAACCTCATACTCAGATAGGGGTTATATCGATATCTAAAAATATTTTACAAAATGCAATACGCGATATTTTAGGTCCAATTTGGTACGTTGTGTACAAATTCGAACCAATCGAAAAGAATCTTTAGATATTTGGATGGATGAATGGATTGGAAAACCGGATGGAAATATACATGTGGTCTTTATCTAAAGCGGAATCGATTTCAATACTATCTGCCCTCGGTGCCCTCTGCCCTCTAAATCTCCACCGATTTCGATGTGGACCGATATATCCCACTTACAATACCAAACATTTTAGACGTACGAGCAATGCTCGAGCAAATTTCTGAGTTATATCATAAATATTTATTCGAAATGTTGCAAACGGAATGATACATTTAATATACATTCAATCTTATGGTGGCGGCTCGTACCCATAACTAACTTATTCACTAGTATGAAGTAATCGACATCTGATTTATTCCCAAAATAATTTGTTTCTAAGACATTAAATGAATTAATAACTTTCCATTACTGTAACATCCAACAATGTAATGCACACATTAGGCATTCTCACTCATGTTCAAATCATCAAGAAGAAAAAAGAAACAGATCATTTTTTTATGAAAATCGATTTCACATTTTGTAAACAAAAAGAAAAAACTAATAAATAACTATTTAAGAACATACAAAGCAAAACACATAGGGTTAGTGCTATAGTTAATTTTTAAGGCTGCAGCAAAGCAAAACAACAAAAAGATATACAAAAAACAGAAAAAACAACAACAAATTAATTAAGCTCAAAGCTTTTTTTCAAAATATGCCAATTTGTTTTTGTTAAGTTATTATTATTGCAAGTGTACAGAATTTTCGTTGCCAAAACAACCAACCGACCAAGCAACTATCTATCTGTCTACCCTTTCTATCGACCAACAAAAGAATAATGCGAAGCAAAAAAACTAAAACTGTGTGATAGTAGTATGGTTAAGCATGGTTTCCAAGCCACCACCAAACAATCCATAACCACAAAACAAACTCACAGAGGATGATGTTGATGATGATATGCACACATTTTGGAATTTCAACCTAAACCCAGCTCCCTCCCAGCTCTCAAGAAAATCAAAATACAAAAAAAAAGAAAGGTTGTGTGAGGAGAATCATCGTATCGAATGAATGGCGACTCAAATGTAATAAATCTGCAATTCTCTATCTAGCCCCATATTCTTGAATTTGTTTTTCTTGTATTGTGTGCTCCTGCGACCTCCTGACCTATGTAAGAAAGTGGCGATGACCTGTTGTCACAAATCATCACCTGATTATCATTTACATCGATTTAACAAAAACAAAGTAAAATTCATATATACAATGGAAATTCCCATTCCAAAAGAATAACAAAAATTTTTTTTACAATCCAAAACCAAACCACCTATCAATAAAATCAACCCACCCACTAAACAACCAACCAACCAAACCCACCTTGAATACCTAAACAAAATTCATAATCATAGAAAACTTTGTTGTATATTTAACTTTCAGTCTCCAGATACTCAGGCCTGGCAAAATGATTATCTTCAAGGTACAGGGTGTGAGATGTATACCGAAACCCTATCACCTTCATTTACCGGCATGACATTCCCACAAGCCAGCGAGTAAGACCCTTAGAGATGATTTGTTCATACCATATTATTTCTCTCTTCTTCTCTCTGAATATATAAACGTATAACTACTTACTTACTTACAACCTTACTTACCTTAACTTATATATTTGAGCATACCTCCATCATACCAACAACAAAACACACACACACACCCACATATGCATACAAACATACTTCTAAAAGAAAATCATCCGGCAAAATATCATTCCACCAAAGGATTAAAATACGATTCACAAATACATACACATGTCATTAATAGTTGAAATTATCAAATATTTACACAGTGTCTTGTAAAAAGTTTGGGAGAGGGTTTTAAATATAACAGGTCTATGGGAGATATATAAAAAGATATATAAAAGTTTTTTGAAGGTATTTAATTAATAAGAATATTTATTTTAAGTATTCCATATATCTCTAATAAAGGTTATTTTTTGATCACACCTCATATTTCTGACCCAATAATAGTTTATACACTTTTTCCCATTTCAATAGAGACAATTCCAAAATATAAATTTTTAAATCTAAGTAGGAAGGCTGAAACGCCCATAATTGGGTGAGGCCAAGGGACCTTAACGTAAATCTCTTCACTAGAAATACAAAAATAGGAATGAAGAACCCGTTTTTCAAAACAAAGTGATAGCCATAATAAAGTTAAATATGTGGGGGTCATCCTAGACAGGAAACATAAATGGAAATATCAAAATAAAGCCCACAGGTGCTGGTCCTTCTGCAGAAGGTCTGTAGGGGTTTTAAACCAAAGATGATGCACTGGATCTATAAAAACGTTATTAGACCGATTCTAACATAAGCCTCGGTAGTCCATCGGACAGCAATGGCCAAAAAATGTTATGTAAAATTGTTGCAGAAAGTCAAGTGAGCTTTGGTGACATGATGAGATAGCGGAAAACTAGCAAACATGCCACCTGTTGTTACGCAGATGGATCGGGAATGGGATTTTTCGTAGAAGATCCGAGAAATGTTTAGGACAATCAAATACAATGATGTTTCTTCTTCTAGACTCAAAAATCATTTACCACGTATTTTTCTGAAGTGCGAGAATAATGAAGTTATGGGGTGTCAAGCTATGGCTGTACGACACATGACACATCAACTCTATGTTTTCGCCGGTCCACACATTTAAAAACCCCTAGTTTGAGCCTCACTCGTATTTTCAAATTTCTCCGAAGACTTTAGGCAAACCCTCATACGTTGCTTGAGCTACATCGAAGTGATTTTTCCAGTAATAACGTTTGCTGGAATAAGACTTTCGACAATTGGTTCATTATCGCACATGAAATGAAAAAAAAATCACATAAAAACACTGTATGACAAAATCGAGGTCATGGTCTGTAGTGTGGATAATTATTATTGGGGATAAAAGACCTTGGTGAGTATATAAATACCCTCGAAGTAAAAGTTCGTAATAGGTCAATGTTCGGAGATATGGCGTGGTTCGTACGAATTATTTTCTAAAAAACATGTATTGTTAGGCCAAATAACATAAAAACATAAATTTCGAAGAGAACCCGTGCTAAATTTATTGAACCGGACTGTTATCGGTTATATTATCCGGTTCAAAAATTTAGAAAATCAATGGAGTGAATTGAACTGTCCGATTCGTCCGAATTATTTTCCAAAAACATATATTTTTAGGCCAAATATCTTTAAAAAATAATTTCGAGGAAAACCTGTTTTTTTTTGAACCGGTTATTCAGATAACAAAACCGGTTTCAATACCCTATATGCATATTATAAGAAAGCTAGCTAGAACCGGACTATTATCTGTTTTATTATCCGGTCCTTAAAAAATAATTCGTACGAATCCGACAGTTCAACATAATAAGGAATGTATACTGAATCTATTGAAATAAGTTTTTAAGGACACGAATCTGGTCAAATTGAGAATGGACCAACTAAAATCTTATGAGCAATATTTTTGTAGAATATTTCGAGGATGAAAAATCGCATTTTGTGATATTAGAAGACTGGTTCAAAAAATAAATAACGAAAATGACATGCAAGGAACCGAGTTAGAAGGACGGAATGTTCTACAAAGAAGTTCCTCATTCGATTTAAGAAATGTAACCTCAATACATACATACAATAGCTACAAATGAAGACATGAAGCTATCTCTTTAAGAATAATAGGGTCACGAGCAAAAAAAAAAAATAATCACGCCATATCCCCGAACTTTGACCTGTAGCGATTTTTTTCGTCTAGGTTTTCATATACTCCACAAGGTCTTCCATCCCTAATAGAAATGTTTCACCATCCAAAGTCAAGTTTTTGGTCGAAGGGATAAAAGTCGAAAAACGAATTTTTGTTATTCGATAGAAGTCGAAAATCTATTTTGATTCGACTTTTTTGTGAAAGGCAAAGGTCGAAAAGTCGGCATTTGATCTATTGTGAAGTTGTTATATAGATAAATGCAATTGAATTCATACTTAATTTGCATAAAATCACAACGAATATATGGGCCTAGCTAAATCGCCTTCAATAATGTCTCCAAGATATTACAAAAAAATCTAAGGCTCCGATACTCTAGATGGACCTTCAATTTATGAACATTTAGATTTGTCCAACGTCTATTTAAAATTTAGAAACGGTGTAATTATATAGAGATCGAAATGTCTCGTGGTTCAATGCAGATAATTTTTTGGAAAATGAAAATAAATATTAAAAATATTTTATATTTCAAATTTGTTGATTTCCTTCTATTTTGATAAGATTTCATACTGTTGTCAAATTTGAAGTTTAAAAATCACCCCCCCCCCCCCATGACACTGTGTAAATGGGAAAATTTATCACATCATCACATATTGGTGTAAATAGTCGTCGCATCATATCTTTATTACAAAAAACACTCATTAAAACGAAAAAAGTATTAAGAAAATACCAACAAACATGTCATAACATGAGCATCCAACAACAATTAAAACTTTTTAATACAAGAATTAAATCGATTGTTTTTTAAAAATACTTTAGTTTTTTTTAGCAAGAATATAAATGACATAAATGGAATGCCAATAATTTTTTAATTAAGAAAACAAAAATAATATTTAACACCAACAATAAATTCTACTTTTATTTCGAATAAACTTCGTAACGTTTTCTTAGTGATTTACAAAAAAAAAAAAAACAAAACAAAACCGAAAAAAATGCATTTGAAACAGCAACCTATCTAACACCTCTGAAAGTTCCACACCTGTAAAGCATGTTGTAATTTTTTAACAAATCCTCTAGAACAACAAATTTCCTACAACAACAAAGAGTAGTTTGAAACAACACTACATCCACCCGAACACATAACCCATAGTCTCTCCTTTTGTATGAATGTCTATCTCTTTCTCTCTAACTCTCTGTATTTTTGGATTACTGTCCTTTCCATTAACTGTCTGTGTATTTGTCTTGGTAAAAAGGATATTTACTGTCTTGTAAATTAGAGTTTTTTTTATTGTATCTAGACTTGTCTGTTTTCTTATTATAAAATATATATGCTTAATTTTTTTTTTTAATTTTTATTTTGGCTTTGAAATCTTTATTCAATAATTAGTTTGCACGATAATGCATTTTTGTCGTAGTTAAATGCCTGTCTTTCTGCCTGTATTGTAAATAAAAACATATATACATATATATAAATAATTATTATGACACACTTTATTATCTATTTAATAATAAAAAAATATAATATATTTTAATATTATATTTAAGGGCTTATATCTAAATTATTTTTAATATATTTTGAAATATTTTTATTAACAATTATTTCTTTCTTTGTGTGTGTTCTTCTGTGTCCTTCCCATTTCGTAAAAAATTAGACTGTGTTTCTCCAAGCTGAAACTTCTATTGCTGGCCATTGAAATAAAAGGCAATGAAGATGGTGCCGATAGTAAAATCTCCATTAATCCCAGAAATGCCAAGATCCAGGCAAATACTCAAGGATTTTTCATAGCACAAAGTGCTGATGAAGTCAAAAGGTAAGTAACGTGAATATTAAAACAATGGTAAAACTGTCAAATTTAGACATAGCCCCTGACTACAAATCGATACGTTCCTATTTCGAATCCAAACGGAAGGCAAAAAATTCTTTCAATTGAATCATTCGAATAACTAACCTCGACATCAATGAGAATAGGATTTTCCAAAGAGAAATGTCAAGACTGAATTGATAAGCAAGGACCTCAACCACTACACTAAATTCAAGAAGACGTTATTTCTAGACAACGATAGATGGCAGCCTCATCATCTAGGGCCGGCTACAGCAGACCAATCCAATAATTATTAACGAAACTAACGCAAGACACAATTAAAACCACAGGATTTTATGGGATTGGACATTGGCACATGAAAATTGAAATCAAGATCAACTTGAAATGCCCAAAAATAAAAAAAACCGACACACCAGCCCACCGTTTCGCTTCAACGCGGGAGTAAGGCAAGATTGTCTATCACGACAATTTGAAAGCTTATGCGGATTATGTCTGTGTTCTTTCTTACAAGATATCTAACTTACTTAATTAGCTGGCTTGTGACACTAATATTTGACAGACCATGTTTCGAAATGTTCTCTTCCACTTCATCTTTCCATGGTTCCCCTTCTATGTGAACCATCGCTTTTATATGCCTTTTGAGCTTTTTGGCTCGCTTTTATATGCCTTTTGAGCTGGGGCATCCTCATCCATTCTCACAACATGACCTAACCAACGTAGTCGCTGCTGCTCTATACGCCTGACTATGTCGAGGTCCGAGAATAGATGGTATAGCTAATGGTTCATTTGACGCCGATACTCACCGTCGCTGCAGATCGGCCCGTAGATCTTTTGGGAGAAATGTTCTCTCAAATACCCATGCTTCTTATCCATTCACTATCACGGGTAGTATCATTGTATTGTAGAGTGTGACTTTTATCTGACGAGAGGTGGCCTTGTTTCTGAATTGCTTACTTAGACCATAATAGCAACTGTTGGCCAACACTATTCTCCGCCGAATTTCAGAACTGATGTCATTAGTTGTTTTTTATGGCGGTACCAAGGTATATGAACTCTTTGACTTCCTCGAAGCTGCAGTTCTCAAGTTCCACAGTTGGTCCGAGTCTACTGGGCATCTTACACGTTGATACTATCCGCTTGGTCTTCACGCCATTTACTGCCAGGCTCCTTCTCAATTTGTTTAAATGTGGCTGTTCGCAATGTTCGATGTAATTGGCGTAGGCGAGTAACATGTTTTGTTTGGTGTACAGAGTGTCATTCCTGTTTCTGTTAAATCACGCGATAAAATATCACCTTTTCTGAATCCTCGTTCGATATTAAAGGGCTCCGAGAGGTCCATTCGGACTTCAACTGCCAGTTAAAATTATCCTGCATGACCGTATTAATTTTGCAGGAATACTGAACGCAGACATGGCCTTAAACACTTCTGAACAGATAGGGCTTTCGAATGTGGATTTATAGTCGAAGAATAGGTGGAATGTGTCAAAGTGTTTTTCGTGGGTCTTTTCCAGGATTTGGCGTAGTGTGAAAATCTGGTCAATGGTGGGTTTGCCAGTCCTGAAGCCGCATTGGGTTGGTTCAATAATGTCATTGGCCATTGGCTTCAGTCGTTCGATGGGAAGGAGACTTATTCCTCTATAGTTGGCACATATCGTCTTGCTGCTACATTAAGACGAGTGCGAACCATGGCACATCTAAGACACTGGATAAATGCCCTCCGCCTATCACAACATGATCAATTTGAGTGTTCGTTGTTTGATCGGGATAAATACCTATGACTTTGTGTATATCAAGATGCTAGAATCCGCGAAGCCAATCGATCTCATGCCGTTGTCTGATGTTTCTACATGGCGGCTGAATTTTCCGATTTTTGCATTAAAAACTACTAGCTGAATTAGAATTTTTAGTTATTAGATTTTTATTTAATACTTAATTTTTTAATGGCCTTCAACATCGAATAATAATTTCCACATTTTCACTTACAGAGCTTGGTTCTACTGCAAGGCATGCCATGAAGATATCAAAGATGAAACATTGATTAAAAAATGCAAATGTAAAAACTGTAAGTATAAATGTTTCTTTTCTTCTTTTTTTGAAAGATTTTCTTTTTTGGAAAATTCGTCTAATCAGTTTTAGAGTAAAGAAATTTCTCATGTGCAAATTTTGATTTTGATTATTACAAATATTATTTATTTTTATCAAATATTTGTGTTTGAATTTTTTACAAACTATTTATATACAGTGATACTAAGTCTAAGTGTTTCATTTGAAACTTACAAACGAAATGAGAAAAACTTAAAACAAATAATACAACTTTTATATTATTATTACATTTAAGATTTTCATAATTTAAGATATATACACAAAAATGATGATATTTTAAATATTTATATTTTTTTACAAATTTTTATATTGTCTTATTATTATATAACTACCACTTCTACTACTACTACTACTCTACTCGTAACATGTTGGCGTGGCCTTAACTCCTAACATCAAATCAATGAATCAATCAAACAAATGAAAAAATAAAACAAAAAATGAAAATTACAACTTCTTCGTCTACCTTAACGATCTACAACAAAATCTAATCCACCAATGAAACACCTTTAAACAAATTAAAAAAATTACCACTAATTGAATTGACTTTTTTCGAAACCAAAACAAAAAATTAAATACTATCAAAATTAATCACGAATATCCCAATCAAACAAAAATTTAAAAATTAAATAAAACAAACTCTTAACCAAAAACAAACAGTGGCAGTTCAGCCCAGGAACAAGTTTGATGATTTAGGTAAATCACTCTCTTTGTCATATATATACAATTCTCAAATAAGTTCCAAAAATGTGTTTTGTTTGAAATATGACTAACCTCCTCTTTTTTAACTCAATTCAATGTTTAGTTTTTGTAACCAACCAACCAACCAACCTATTTTTTACCAAACTAAAATGAACAAAACCCCCCACCAACAACCAAAATAACCTACACCATCACCAAACAAAAACTGAAAACAAAACAATTTCCCCCCAAAGTTCTGACAAACCGTTTAATCAATGAACCATTAATAAAATATTCAATTTCTGTTACTACTACTACCATTCTAATCTACTATTACTACTACTCTGTTACTAATGCACTCCAGTGCTTTTAATAATAATAATACTTGTATAATTTTGGTTGTGTGTATGTGTTTTAAATATTTAAGATTTTATTTCGAGTATTTCTTTGGTCATTGTTTTGAAAAATATTGCTTTAAATTGTTTGACTATAATTTTTGATTCCTCTTTTCGATGTGTTATTCTTGGTTTTTCTTGTGGTGATAATAGATTTTTTTTAAATTTAATTTCCTTTTTTGTGAAAAGCTGTCAAAAGCTTGACTTTCAAATTATTGGCTGTAAAATATGTAAATGTTTGAAAGTCTGTAAATATGTCTTCAGCTGGGTTCAATTTTTATTGTTTTTTGTCTATTGAGAAGATTTCATTTGAGGAAAATTGGTACAATAACAATCCCATAAGAATTGCCTTTACATTAATTCAAAGTAAAGGGCAAAATAAAATTTAATACTCTAAAATATCTTGAAATTAATGTTGAAAATAGGTGTTATTTTCCACATTACTTTGTATAAAATGTATTCGTTGAAAAACGAACTCAAGATTTTCAAAGTACAGAATAGGGATAAGTAAATTGGCCTTCAACTAAAATTGGACTTCTTAAGATCTACTTTCGATTTTCTTCATAAATACTTGGTTTATTACCCAAATTACCCAAAAATTACACATTCCAGAACTTTATTTTATCAGTTGACAAACACTTACTTACTTATCTGGTTTGTGACATACCATTTGTTCCATAAGCCGAGCTTAAAAAATGTTTCCAGACACGTCGGTCTAGTGCGTAGTTCTTCCAATTTGAAAGACCCTGTTCGGAAATGTTGTCTTCCACCTGATCTTTTCATCGAATTTGCGGCCTTCCCCTTCAGCGTGAACAATCAGTTGGATTGCTTTTATATGCCTTTTGTGCTGGGGCATCCTCATCCATTCTCGCAACATGAGATGGCTCGATACGCCTGACTATGTCAAAGTCCGAGAATAGATCGTACAACTCATGGGTCATTTGACGGAGATATTCACACAGATATTCCCATAGGCCTTTCAGAGAATTTACTCTCAAATACCCCAAGAGCTGCCTCATCTGGTTCCGCAAGTACCCATGCTCCAGATCCATACAACAGCACCATAGTAGCATTTTTTGGCCAATACTATCCTTCTGTGAATTTGTAAACTGATGCCCATAGTTTTAATTATGGCGGTACCAATGTATATAAAATTTTTGACTAACTCGAAGCTGAAGTTTTCAAGTTCCAAAGTTGGTCCGCGTTGATACTATCAGCTTTGTCTTCTGGCCATTTACTGTCATACCCACTTTGGCAGACTCCTCAATTCGTTCAAAGTTGGCTGTTACCTCTCGAAATGCTTGGCATATGCTATTTGGTGCACAAAGTTCTTTACGATTTCAACTGCTGACCATGTGCTAGTTAAATTATCCTGCATAGCATTAATATGGCCCAAAATGTCTTTGAACACCGTTCACACAGTACGTTGGATAGCAATTTTAGACTTATTCTTCTGTATTTGGCACATTTCGTCCTGTCTTCTTTTTTGTGCACAGGATGCTGAGGTTCCAATCATTGGGCATGCATTATTCTAGCCAAATTATACCTATCAGATGGTGCATGCTCCTGACCAGCATCCGACCACCGGTTTTGAATAGTTCGGCTGGTAATCTATCCGTACCTGCTGCTTTATTATTCTTCAGTCGACTAATTGATATTCTGACCTCATCTTGGCTAGGTGGTATACAATCTATACCGTCGTCTCTTATTGGCTCCTCTCCACCGCCACTATTTGATTCCAGAAACTTTGCAAAATACTCCTTCCAGATCCTCAAAACGCTATCTGTATCTGTCACAGGTTTCCATCTTCGTATCTACAAAAGTATGTGCCTGAACTAACGACTTTGGTACAACGGTACTACAATCACCAGTCAATACAAAGCGTTAACCAACGCCTCCACACCGAAATGCAGTTGACAATCGTTCACACGTATTTGGACATGATCGCCTTTTGGATGGGGAACAGAGCCCATCTAAAACTCCTGTCTCCATAAAATTTGACAAAAATGCGTGCTTCGCAGCCTGAGGTTTGGGTACAAAAAGGTACATGGTACAAAAAGTAATACGGGTGATATACAGATTCATTTCGTGTTACAGATTACAAAAGGCAACCAGCTAGGGACTTGAATACCTTGCCACTACTTGCGATTAATGCAGAACATTTAGATTAATTTCTACGCAATGCACTAAATGAAATCGGCAGAAGGAGATTCCGATGTTTAAAGTGTTTATATAGAACTACTCTTTACATTATTTGAAGCAAATGAAAAAAGTTTGGCAAATATTCTGTCCTGCCATGCGGGATTGGGCAAAATGGATTATTTTTGATTTCACATCTCAGAGAAAAATACTTTCCGAAAATTGGCAATGAAATTTAGAAACTGATGTTCTAGAGACATATTTCTGCCTTCCAATATTTACAAAATACATTATCTCGTTGAACTTATGACGTACATAATTGCCTATACGGAACCACCGTCCGGAATCTCAAATTATTTATTTTAGACAATTTATTACGATGTTGCCTCGATATGCTGTCACGATGTCAATTTTCTCGAAAATATCTACCATTGACCTCAGAATATTCTCTTTGTGTACCTATTTTCCAAAACAAGGCCTTACAATTATATTTAATTCACCACATTATATATTTTTTGTCTTATGTTATATTTATTATTATTTGTTCATTATAATTTATTGCAAATATGTAATGGAGCCTGAATTTTTTATTGTAAATTATTTTGTAATTTTTTATTTATTAATATGGACAACCAATTCGCAATGACACACTTGCTTTGCCCAAAAACAAAAATTATTAAATTTTATTTTGGAAATTTTTAGCTAAAAAACACACACCGCAGTTCAAAATTGTTACGAAATTTCAAATCAAGATTGCAAATGATTTTATGCACCTCAAAACAAAAAACTGGAAAAATCCGGATTATTTTTTTTTTTTCTTTGGATTTTTCTTTATATTTATGCGTACGTTTTTTCTCTCCCTTATATACCTTAAATACACACACACATACTACACTCTCTCTCTATAAATATATAGCTCTCTGTTTTCCTCTAAGTCAATGTCTTTTGGAAATTTTGAAAACGTTTCTATAACAGAACAGTGTATTTTACGAGTGCATGGAATCAATTTTGACTGGCACCACCAATATATTTATTTACAACAAAAAAAAAAATAAAATAAAAATCAATATATACAAATTATATATATAAACCCTCTCCTACTCCACAACATATTTACATTTATATATGAAATTAAAAATCTATACAGCAAATCAATTCATATGTGTATAAATATGGTCATATATACATATATATAAATATCATTAATGGATGTTAATCACTTACGACAAACTAACTGTATAAATCGGGAAATTCAATATATATTTTCCCTTAAGTAGACACATCATAAATTGAAGCAGATAAATAAAAAATAATTATATTTAAGTTAGTTTTGAAAAGTTAAAATTGTTTTGTTATGGTAGGAATTGCTCATAATTTAAATTTAATTAAAACACAATTGTTTTGTCAGATATTTCTATGTGTAAATCCCTCCTCCCAAAAAACGAAAACAACAACTTGTGTATATAAAAAAAATATTATCCACGTTTTTACATCGAATCACACACGATAATAGAAATTAAAAATTTTTATTAGAGATTTGTTGAGTTTATTACAGTAAAGATGTGTTTTGTATTTGTAGTTCAGAACAAGTTCTTGTGAAGGTCAATGTTAAACCCATTAAACGAAAAATCTCAGGATTCCACTAAAATATCCAACACCCATATCCCACACATCTAACTCCCTCTCGACTAAGTTTTCAACTATACACCCAAAATAATAATTCCCGAAAAAGGTGTACACACCTACATACATTTATCTTTGTAAATAATTGTCGTCGTTCATAGTCACACCCACCCCTTTGAAAAGAAAAATAAATAAATAAATCTCTCATTCCCACCACCACCAGAGCAGCTCCAACTAAAATCCCCCCAAAGTCTTGTACATATAAACATTTTCCGACATTTGTACAATGGTGTTTGTGTAGTATTCTGTTTCGTTTTTTTTTTTTTTTTTTTTTGTAATAAATGAAGTTATTAATTGAAATCTAGTGTAGTTTTGAAAACAAAATAATAATAATACAAAACTGAGCAAGAAGTTTACTAAACAAAATCCGGATTAATATTAAGGAAAGAACAAGCAATAAATTTAATGTCATGGTTGTTACATTGTTGTGTCACGCAATGGCTTCAACTCACTACTAACATATAGATGTGTGAAATATTAACTAATAATAAAAATGTGAATAATAATTATAATAATGTATTAAATACAGTGGCGAAATAGGCTAGTATCTTTGGAAATTAAAAATAATTTAATACAATTAATAGAGATGGACAAATATGAAACCCGAAATCAATAATAATCGTCTGATCCATTATAAAACTCAATCTCCATTCGAAAAAATATCGATACTTAACTAATTTTCAAAGAATAATTTTTCAACAGTTCAAAGTACAAATATCCATAGGAAAAACATTCCAGTGCACCTCAGGATCCAGGACGATTGTCGCCTCCTGCCCTTTCATAAATGACGATATTTAAATGCTGTCTGATAGTTCCGACCTGACTAAATGTTAGTTCAACCAAACCTACAGAATACTCCGCTACCCTTCCTAAGCTATTCCACTTAATAAAACGAGATGTCAAATCACACTGTAATAGCAAAGACAACTATCGGCTGGATAATCTGTCGATATATCAGCAGTATTACTTCAAGAGTTAGCCCGCCGCACCTTTTCAATAGGCTATGACAGCTAAATACTTTTTGTCCTAGTCAAATTGGTTGGCTATTACAATATTTTGCTATGGATTAGCCACTAGCAATAATAGGTATCAATATCTATCAGGATCCTGTCAATTCTCCTACCTTTTCATAGATGACCATATTCAAATGCCATCTTATAGTTCAGTCCAGATTGAATGTTAGTTCAGTCAAGCCTACAGAACCCTTCGCTAACCTTCCCAAGCCTTTCAATTTAATGAGATATGTTGTCAAACCGTACTGAAATAGAATATACATTTATATTTGCATCGTCGACATATCAGCAGCCTTACTTCGGTAGTTAGTTCATTGAGCATCTACAACAAGCTATCATAGCTGAAGAAGACCTTTATTGTTCAAGCCAGGATAAAATCTATATACCTGTTGAAATTGAATTTCTGATTAAGGTAATTTATTCTGTCCTTCACATCCACAATATTAAGACCAATGGTAGGTCCTTAAACTTGGTATATTACCCGTTATCATTATAGCCTTTAAATTAAGACTCCCTAAGGAAAATAACTTATAGAGCTGCCTGATAATCATTTAGCTATGTTTCCACTGTACCAGCCAGTGGATTGAAAAAAGGCGGAAAGCGAGAATCAAAGTCGGACATGCCGTTATATGAAACCCTAGAGCACATTGATTTATTAGGTCTCTGTGTACCGTTAAATGTATATCTATCTAAATCTGACCCAATTTTTAAAACCGACTATGGTGCACCACTTACATACAATTTGACGAAAATGTGTGTATAGAACAATTCCTATGCGGAAAAACATCGTAAGTAAAATTATTCAGATATCAAAATTACTGCAGCCTAAAGTTCGAGCTACTGAGGTGGACGCAATAATTATCGTGGTTCAAAAAAAAAAAAAAAAAAAAAAAAAATCCGGATGATATAGAAATTCATGTTAGATCTTGAGTTTTACAGATTTGCTGTCCTCAGTTTGAGGGACAACTCGTGTCACGAAGAATTATTTTATTTATTTCTCTACTTTCGTCTATCCAAGAACATAAAATAAGGAATATCGGGGAAGAAAATTAAATTAGCTTTCGAAAATGATAAAAATCAAAAAAATCGGTTAAAAAATGGATGATATAGTCATGTTGTAGTTCGCATAGAAATTTCATTTTCACTCTTTTATTTCTGAATTCCACTGATATTAGAGCATGTTTCTGGAAAAGTGGTTAAAATGCATTGAGAGTGGTCCTATATTACGACGATTTATCTACAACAATTTTCATAATACTAATTGTCAAATGTTTTCAATAAATAATCTAATTATGTACTAGAAGAAATCAGAAGAATTAGGTTCCAATGTTTGAAATGTTTACATAGAAATGATCTTCACATTATTTCAAGTTTAACATATCATCTGTTCTGCCATGGCGGATCAGCCAGTTTTACAGGAGGGGATTTGACACAATACCAGTGCTCTGGACAAAATTGTCCTGTACATGCATCTGGAGAAAAATACCCCAAATGTATTTTTACGATTTATGCTCAACCAAAATCTGAAATTAAATATATATATATATATATATATTGTTAAAAATATTAAATAAAAGAGGATTGGTTTCAATTAAAATATTGGATTCTATATTAGTTCACATCTGAGAGAAGAATAGTTTCCAAAATTTGGCAATGGAATTCTGTCAGTTTTATTACTTTTCCGCATTGATGTTCTAGAAGACGTAGATATGCCTTACACGACTTTGACAATCAGCTTTCATACACAGGTTTTAACAATGTTTACAAAATGCATTTTCTCGTAGTACTCATGACGCACATAATGGCGTATACGTTACGACAACATTTATGCGCCGTACGGAACCACCATTCGGAATCTCAAATTATTTAGTATTAAAAAATAAGAAGATAAAAAAAAACTGAAAGATATGATAATATTGTTAAGCCTCTCACTGTTGAAAACTATGAATTTTCTTCGCCAAAACCACTGTATTAATACATTTAATAAATTACTGTATGTATTCCATTTATGTATAAATAATTGTGTATTATTGCAGCGCAAGTATTATGTAATAATATATTATGGATTTTTATAGCTTAAGAGTTAAATAACACACAAAAGATAAACAAATAGTCTTTTAAACAATTAAATTAGATATCTAAATAAAAAATATTAAAATGATCACAATGTTAATGATGATGATATGAGCACCAGTTGAAACATGTTAATGAATAATTTTACAGATGTGGGCATGATTATGATGCAGACTGGAATGGTGAATCAAGGCATTACCTCAGCCATTAATCAAATGGAGGGTACGAATTTATATACACACATACACAAATAATTTGTTCAATTTACATCTAACCTAGCTAACTTAAATTTTCTAAGCATTTATAGCCAAAGCTAATCAAGTTGATAAACCAAAAATTAAGAAAAAAACAATGAAAATAATTAAATAATAATTGCTAAAAAATTTAAATCCAACTAGTCAACCCGTTCATTCCCCTGCTGCCCGCCCGTTTTTCAAATTATGCATTAAAATTGGAAACAAAAACAATTCTAAATTGCTAACAAACTTAGTGTATGCTGCTCAAAAGAAACAAAAAAGAGACATTATATATTTTTGCTGCCTTTCTATTTTTCGCTGTTATTACTTAGTAATTAAAAAATTAAAAAAGATTAATTTATTTTAAAATCAAAACCAATTTATAACTATAAGTAAGTGTAACTAAACCCCTTCCATTAACATTTCTACATTTAAAAATGCTAAACAAGCAAGCCAAAAATCTACAATATAATTATACCATACGCCTCTTGGGTTTCTTCCGCTAGGCAGTGACAAGGATATTAAGGAAAATGACAACGTTAAATAAAATAATAATAGTTTTTTATATAATAAGGAAATAGTTTAATTTATATGTATTTAAATAAATATTAAAAATAATAATAATAAACATAAATAAGAACAAGAATAATTCGCCGCCAGCCAACCAACACCAAAACCCGAACAAAAAAATTATTATACAAATAACAATTTTATTTATTAATATGTGTGTGTGAGTTTTAAAGAAGTTATTGCAGATATATACTACTTTCCAAAAATTGAATATTCGCCATTGGGAATTCTTACACATTGAATAATGCCTTGAAGAAATTTAAATGTATTTCAAACCTGCAATAACAATAATTTGTTCTTCTTATGGTGTACACAATTACGTATACATTACGACAATACTAATACGCCATATTGTTATTACGACATGAGATCCGACATAGTTGCGTAGATGTGGAATTTATTTCAATTTTTATATAGAAATGCTCTTTACACGAAGACCGAGGATTTGGCCAGTTTTGCAGGAGGGGATTTGATAAAATAACTAACTTATTTTAGCGACTTGAGAAATGCAAATCATTCCAGACTTTGCGTTTTGAAGCATGAGGCACTTTTTGGCAATGAAGCATGAATTGGATACTCTAGTAAAAAAAACTAAACGCAAACTGAACGCCGATAGTTGGATTACTTGCTCGCATTGGTTTTCTACACGACATAGTTCTAATTTCCAAAGCTTCGACAATCAGCGCTCATACACAGGATTTAACAATGTTTACAAAATATATCATCTCGTAGAAGTTATGACGTACATGATTGCGTATTCGTTATGCCAACATTAATACGCCGTAAGTAGCCGCTATTCGAAATTTCAAATTATTTACCATAAAATTTACATTTTGATGGCAATGAAAAATGAATTGAACTAAAAGAACTGCAGAATCAATGATCTTTACATTATTTCCAACAAATAAAAAATCTGCTTATCTTCTGATTTGACAATCGTCTTTTTCCGACTTGAGAAATCCAAATCATTCCAGGCTTTAAATTCTAAAGTGTTTCGATCATGAACGATTTGTTGGATATGAAAATTAAAAGGACACTCTAATAAGGAACTCTATGGAACATCTTTAGACTCTATTTCGCAGTTGCGGAAAGAAGAAATGTATTAAAAATGTAAATTCTACCAAATAATAAATAGCCTTTTGCTATGCCAATACAAAAACTGACGCCAAAAAAGTTGTTCGTATTTTAACGACTTGAGAAATGCAAATCATTCCATACTTTAAATTCTATAGCATGAGGAACTTGTTGGCTACGAAAAATTATTTGGCTACTTTAGTAAAGAAATAAAAGATTAACAGATCTTCGAAATATTGCAGTTGCCGAGGGGGAATTATATAGAAATGCTCTTTACATTATTTCTAGCAAATAAAGAATCAGTTTTACAAAATAACTAGACACTCAACAAAAATGTGCCTACGTATTTTTACGACTTGAGAAATCCAAACCATTCCAGTCTTAAAATTCTAAAGTATTTCGTTGATGGAAAGAAAGGAAAGGAACATAGCCAACAAGGAACTTAAATCAATGGAACCTCTTAAACCATATTCTGAAGCTAACTATATATTGCAGTTGCGGAGAGGGGAACTACATTAAATATGTACTTTTTCGATTACTTTTCAATCCTTATATAAATGCTCTTTACTTTACATGTTTGAAATACAAAAACTGATCTCCTTCACATTTATTTATTTTTTAATTTGTACATATATAGAAATGCTCTTTACATTATTTCTAGAATAAAAACATATTAGCATATCCTTTGCTGTAGCAAGTGCTAATACTACCGTTGACAAATATAACAAAATAACATTTCAGATATTTGGTTGTCGAATAAATTATTAGAACTTTTATCACCAAGTGCTAAGATTCTAAATAATTTAAATCTTCTTTAAACTCGCACACACAAATATTACTTAAAAAAGAAAACAAATCAACACAACGTATAGGTTTATATCATAAATTATATGTTTTGTCATTACTTTTTTTTCGTTTCAAATTGTTGTTGATTTTACGTCTGCTTGTGTTCCATCTTTGTTTTTTTTTTAATTTTTATTTGAATTACCAAAAGAAAATCATGTTGTAAATAAATAAAATAACAATTTCATTATTCTCGAATTTCACCTCAATCCTATGTAATTCATTTATTTTATTTAATGACCCCCCTACCACCACCACTACCACCTACCTACCTATCAACTACTATTACTACTACTCTCGTACTACAAAAAATCAAAATCAACCACAGTGGCCACGTTCAGGAAAGGCGTCCGAGCCGTACAAATGGTAGGACGTGCAAGTACGTATAAATTCCAAAACCAAAAATATATATATTAGTTCTATAACAAATAATTAGTGAACAAACTTCTCAAACATTTTCTTTAACACAAAAAATAATTAATTAAAAAAACTAACACCCTTTTACAACAAAACAAATAAGAACAAAATCTTTTTGTCTATATTTTTTAACTGTCTGTCCATTACAACTTACACATACACACACTAACAACTATCCCTAGTCCATACACAATATACATACATACAAATATTTCATTGAATTAGAATTTCTTGTATAAGAATCAATCTGTTTTGTCATTAACTTCTTAATCTTCTATCTGTTTAGTCTCCTGTTTCTTCTCATTGTTTCGAAATCATGTATACATTTCCTTATATTTAAAAAAATTGATAATTTGTTACATTTTTTTCAGTTTTTGTATTACCAGTACTCGTATGTGATTTCGTTTTTATTCTTTCTATTTTTTCTTTATTATTTGATGTGTACTGTTGTACTGTACTTGTAGTAGTCTAAAAAAATTAACTTCGTTCGTATTTCCCCCCGTCAGATAAATAAATAATTAATTACTTATTAAATATATATGTGTTTCAATTATACATACTTACATACATATATACATACATTTTAATAAATAAATTAATTTCAAAATTTGTTGTTTGATATACAAAATCTCGTTCTTAATAAATATTATAAATAATAATAATTGAATTGTCTATATTTGTTAAATATTTTTTTTATTGGTAAATAGTAATGTCAATCGAAGGATATGTTCAGTGTTCAAATGTTTATATAGTATGAAATCCTTCAGAGTAACATATTTTTTCTTAATCAATTTTAATATTCGTGTTCTATTTAATATAAAATATTGTTGTTCAATTTGTTTTTCTTAATAGTTACTGTATGTACAATTTATGTACATAGACATAAATATAGTTATTACAATAATAAGTACATATACACAACGTCTTTTTCAAATACAACTAATTTTTAAGAATATAAAATAAACGAGATTTCAAATAAAATATCTAATATATATTTATGTGTACATATGTATGTATATATGTACATATTATTTAATCATTATTAAAATAATCACATCAGTTTCAGACTCATAAAATTTGTTCTTTTCATATATTTCTTTAAATATATTATTTTGAAACAGCTTGTGAGCGGAGCTTCATCATCCGAAACAAACGGTTTAAGTTAATACTTTCAGTCCTTGTTTAGAAATTATTTGCAGTTTCTGATCTGAGTTCATCAACTTGGGCAAGCGTAGTTACTGATCTTAAGCTTTGAATGTATGCTAAACGAATGACAGTCGGAGTAGGATCGACTTTATTAAACATAGGTTCTACTTAGGTACTACATATGAGAAACAAGATTCCTATCTAGTATTGGTTGTAAAAACGGTATTGGGGCTACCCACATGATATCGAACATTGTCCAAAAAATCGCGTTTTCCGAATTTTTCATAAAGTAAAAATAGCACCATCTTTGCTTTTTATGAAAATGTTTCTATTTTTACACAAAAATTCATATACGTTTCCAATGTTTTATTAATTCCATGGTTTAATAGTCGGCAATGTTTCTAAACTGCGCATCTTTCTCTACGAGCCTCATGGAAGACCAATATTAAATATTTAATTTCAATGAAATGTCCACAAGTCTACTTTCGGATTTTGCCTCTAATAAGTCTATGATATATTTCCAACTTCCACTTTTAGACCTTTCAATATATAATTTATAATAGATAAATCTTGTAAAAGGTAAATGGTACCTATATTTCTTGGCGTCGTAAACAGTTTTTATCATTCTGCCACAGTTCATATCAGCTTAGAACAAAACAGGTTTTATCGGCCTTTGTTCCATATTCAATGAAATTACCTGTGGCATTACCTAGTTCAGTTAGCTCTTTTAAGTTCAGCTCTTTTGAGTCGACTAGTTCAATCGTTCGCAATTAAATTCTTTTATTCAGCACTGGTTTAAGTTTGGTCGTTTTTTAATAGATCATTGCTCTTCTAAACGTTTAGTGGGATGAATATGTTATGGCGAGGATTATTCAAGAATAGTTTCAGAAAAAAGGATTATTCAAGCATAGTTTCAGAGAAATTAGAAATGATTTT